GGATGGTGCCAGACTCTGCTCAGCGGTGCCAGTGACAGCACAAGGAGCAATGGCCATAAACTAAAACACAACAAGTTCCATCTCAACATGAGGAAGAACTCTGCATGGAGGGTGGCAGAACAGCTGCCCAGGGAGGGTCTCTAGACGTTCCAACCCCACCTGATGAACTGAAGGAATGCTACCAGGGTCCTCGGGCAGGAGCTGCAATGCTTCCCCTCTGCCCAGGGAATGGATCAGGCAGGATTTAGGAGAGGAATGGGAAAAACACAGTCCAACCTACCTATCCCAGACACACTGTCCCAGGCAATGTCCATGGCCAAGTGGGCCATTTTGGGCCCAACCCCTGGCAGCTGCACCAGCTCCTCCACAGTGCTCGGGATGTCACCTCCATATTTCTGCTTCAGGATGGCTGTTGTCTGCTTTATGTACTTCACCTTGTTCTGGAAAACCAAGGGGAAAGGCACAAAATTCAAGCTGCCCTCCAATACAGGGCAAAGAGACAAGAAAATGAACCATTCCTGAACGTGTTCTACAGGTAAGGCCACACACGGGAGCTGTGGAGGGGAGACAGATCCTTGATTTCTCCTTGGAATTAAAACGCTGAGAGCTGGTAGCTCCAACCTCCCTGCACGCTGCAGGCTCTGCAGCCAACAATCTCATCTGGCTGGGAATGCAAAGTGCCAAAATTGGTGTAAAATCCAGCCTGCAGCCTGACTCCAGGGGGAAGATCCCCCCAGGGAAGGGCACACAGGCCGAGTCCCAGCACGGGGGGCTCCTCTGCCTCGTGATCCCGCACTCACCCTCCAGAACCCCACGGGATAGATGATCTGGCCCAGCGTGGCATCGTCCATCTGCAGGACGCTGTCGACGGTGAGGCCGCGCTGGCGCAGGCGCAGCATCGCAGCCGATGTCACCTGGTCCTTGGTCTGGCTGGACAACATCAGCGACAGCAGCACCTGGTAGCGCATGACCTGGGGGAAAGGAGGCTGTGAGACCCCCTGAGAACTCCAGAGCCACCTCCAGGGCTCGGCTCTCCCATCCAGCACCATCTGCAGTCCAGTGCAGGATATGCTCCTGCCCTGGTTCAGCTGTATCCACCTACAAGAGACTGGAAGGGTGCAACAGGAATAATCCTGGATAAACCTGGATAATTCCATCACACAATTCAAGGAGAAAAGAAACACCTTCCATCTCAGCTGTCAGCATCCGTGAAAGGGCAGGGAGCAGCTCTGTCTGCTGGGATCTCACATCCAAAGACACCAGTACTGAGCCATAAAGGGCCAAAGCTTTTCCTGAGGATGGGATTCTCAGAATGCACAAGATGCACAAGTACAAATGCCCAATGACTTTTCATGCAACTCCTGCTCTAAGCAGCTTCTGAGAATCCCATCCCTTACTCACTAGGCTTCAGTAGGAACTGGGTATCTGGCTCCAGTGAGCTCCTTATGGAACCAAATCTGCAGGTCTGTGATGACAGAGACTGGGAGATGAAGGACAAACCCAGAAGTTCCTCTGCTGCTGCCCCACAAGATTTAGCCAGGCCATCCACCTCCTATTTCCCAATTATTTTTCTCCAGATGTGATTCTGTCCCCACCAGAACTAGGAGGATGATGCAACTAACCTGGAATGACCCAGGATAAAATGGGACACAATCCTTTCTCCAGCTCTCGTACAAAGTTTATAAAACCACAGGTGCTCCAGGAAAATTCCCTGAGTGCATGGAAGTAGGATGATCTCTGAGTACCAGGAAATGGTGTGAGGAGCTGAGGGTTAAAGCATCCACTTTTTCTTGGAAGCAAGAACCCCGCTTCCCTAGGGAAGAGGAGTTATTTCCGTGTGCTGCACCGTTCCCTTGGCCCCGCAGCTGCCAGCCCACATGGCTGTGGAGCGTGTGACACTGTCCGGATCCGGGGTCAGAGCTCATCGTTCTCCCCAGGGATCCAACCCACGGCATGATGCCAGCAGCAAGGACAGCATTCCATGTGCTGAGGCTGTGCAGCTGTGTCTTCCAGACCCCTCCTTCAGAGCCCAGCAGGTCCCGCTGCTCCTCTGAGCCTGCCCATGGGAGATCCCCCCATTCCCACTCCAGTGCCAAGCACGGAGTGCAGCCCTGCAGCCCAGGTCCCACCGTGCCTTTTTTTTTTGTACTGATGCCAACAGTCCCCTCGGAGGGAGGTGACATCTGCGTGGCCTTTGATTGTGTTCCTGGGCTTGGGAAGCATGGAGCCACCCCATCACTGCCTTTCCTTCCAAAAAGCATCCCTTAACAGTGGATCATAAGAGGAGAGGAGGCCATCCTACAGAGGTTTTTAAGGGAAAAAGGGACATGGCTTCATGCCTTGCCCGACTGCCCCAGAAGACAGCACTGCCCCTCACATCCATGACCTCCCATGAGACCAACCCCAGCCCAGTCCTGATCCACCCCATGTTTATTTTTCTGCTCTGGAAATATCCCAAGTGGGACAACATCCAGGGGCAACACGAGGATCAGGGAGGCCGGGGTCGTGTCCTCCTGTGCCTGATGGAGTAGGCAGCAGGATGCTGTTCCCTGTGGAAGTGCTGTTCCCTGTAGAAGTGCTGTTCCTTGTGGAAGTGCTGTTCCCCTTGGAGGTGCTGTTCCCTGTGGAGGTGCTGTTCCCTCTGGAAGTGCTGTTACCTGTGGAGGTGCACTGCTGTCATAGCACTTCTGCACTCCCATCTCATCCACAGGAGCATCTCTGTTCCTCCTCATCTCCCGGATACGCTCCAGCTGCTCCTGCCAGTCCCTGGGTTCCCAGCGTGGTCTCTGGGGCTCAACACCATCCCCCTGCCCAGGTTCATAGGCAATGGCGATGCTCTTCCTCCTCCTGCTGCGCCTCGGGATGCTGGGGGTGCCATGGGTCTGGCTTGCTGCAAGGGATGGAAGAGAGACTCCAGGCTTGAGGAAAGGTGCCTTTGTCTCCCACAGAGCCCAGTGACGGCCCCAGTGTGCCACCAACCACCCAGGGGACCCTGACCTGGGCTGAACTCACCCTCCCCATAGTCTTAACCCACTTAGCAACACCTCACACCTCCCCAGCCCTGCCCAGAGCCAGCACGGGGCGAGGGAGGGCTGGAAGGACCTGGGAGACAGGTGACAACAGGTGACATCGTGGGGTCACATGTCACACTATGGGGACACAAACACAGGTGAGGCAGCTGAAGAAGCATCCCCAGGGCCTCTCCCAGGACCAGCCACCGGGCAGTGCCACATCCCGGGCTGCGAGAGGGATGTGACAAGGACACCCAGCCCCTGTCCCGGCGGGACCCTCACTGCCCCTGGTGCAGCACCAAGCCCCGTACCCAGCACGGGTGCCCATCAGCCCCGATCCTCCCCTCTCCCGTACCCCCGAGAAGCGCCGATCTCCCCCTCTCCCTACCTTCGATCCCCTTCTCCCATAACCCCGATCCCCCCTCCCGCACCCCGATCCTCCCTCCCCCATACCTCTGATCCCCTCTCCCGTACCCCGATCCCTCTGTCCGTACCCCCGATCCCTCTCCCGTACCCCGATCCCTCTGTCCCTGATCTCCCTCTCCCGTACCCCAATCCCTCTGTCCGTACCCCCGATCCCCCTCCCGTACCCCCCCTGCCCTGTCCCTGTGCCCAGTCCGTACCCGCGTTCCCCCCGGCCGGGCCGAGCCGCCGCAGCCCGGCCCTGCCCGCACACATGGCGGACCCGCGAACTACCGGGCCCGGAGCGCTCCGGGGCCGCCGGAACGGGCGGGACTTCCGCGGGGGCGGCACCGGGGCCGGGGGCCGGAGCGGAGCGGGCCGGGGGCAGCGGGGCCGGGCCGGGGCCGGGGGTGAGCGGCGGGGCCGGGGGCGCTGCCCGGGCCGGGGGGCGCGGGGGTCTGGCGGGGCTTAGGGGGAGTGTGGGGCAGCCCCCGGCCGGGGTGTCCCCGGTGTCCCCTGTGAGAGACCCCCGCTGTGTGTTGGGGGGGCTGTGCTGTGACCCCCGCTGTGTGTTGGGGTGGGGGGGCTGTGCTGTGACCCCCGCTGTGTGTTGGGGGGGCTGTGCTGTGACCCCCGCTGTGTGTTGGGGTGGGGGGGCTGTGCTGTGACCCCCGCTGTGTGTTGGGGTGGGGGGGCCGCGGTGACCCCCGGTGCGTGTCCCTAAGGGGTTGTGCCATGTCCCGGGGTGGTGGGCGGGGGACGTGGCGTGTCCGGGCTTGTTTGGGAGCATGGGGCGACAGTGCGCCATGGCCAGGGGTGTATTAGGGGCTGGGGGGGTCCCCCGAGCTGAGGCTGCGGTGTGACCCCCCGAGGCTGGGGATGGTGATGTGTCCCCGGGGGTGGTGGGCGTGGGACCCCAGTGTGCCCCAGGGTGATGGGCTGGGGGCTGTGTGTGTCCCCAAGGACGGTGGGCTGGGGGTCATGGTGTGTCCCTCGGGGTGGTGGGCTGGGGGCTGCAGTGTGACCCCTGGTGACACTGGGCGGGGGGCTGCAGTGACACTGGTGACACTGGGCGGGGGGCTGCAGTGACACTGGTGACACTGGGCGGGGGGCTGCAGTGACACTGGTGACACTGGGTGGGGGGCTGCAGTGTGACCCCGAGGACAGCGGGCTGGGGAATGTGGTGTGTCCCTTTGGATGGTGGGCTGGGGCTGCAGTGCCCCCCACCAAGGGAGGTGTGGTTTGTCCCCTGGTGACGCTGGGCTGGGGGCTGTTTTGTCCCCTGGTGATGCTGGGCAGAGCTCCAGGGCGTGTCCCCTGGGATGCTGGGACAGGCTCTGCGGTGCATCCCGGGAGCACCAGTGATTGCTGTGCCCAGGGTGTGGGGGAGGCCATGGGGCAGAGCCGGGGCTGTGTGGGGGCCCGTGCCCAGGGCAAGGGGCTGGGGCTGTGCCAGGAGCAGGGGTCCTGCTCCGAGTGGGGTTCTGGGGTCCCCAAGGGGCAGCAGGCTGTGGGGGGACAGTTTCTGGAGGATATCACTATAATGGCTGTGCTTGTTCTCGCCCCCCTCTTCCTCTTGCCATGGCAGCACTTGGATGTTCCAACACTCAGATCTGTAAGTCCTTCCTCACGTCTGCTGCGTCCACATGTACTGTGCAGCACTGTGTGCTTGGCCACTTTGGGCTGGGAACAAACATCCAGCTCACACCCTCCAAAAAGTGTGTGTGTGTTTGGTTATACTTCACAAGTGAGCTTGTGGGGTGGGGCTGGGCATTCAGAGCTCCCAGAAATGGCACCCCAGAGCTCCACATTCACCAGGGAGCTGCAGGATGCAGATGCTGAAGGCAGAAGCAGCACAGGCTTCTCACTGTTTTCTCAGTGTTGGCTTCTCCCAAGTTTGAAAAGGCTTCAGACAACACCAGAGCTGTTTGGAAAAGCCATGGTGTGATGCTGTTGTTGTTGTTTTCTTGCTTAAACGTTCTCCTTGGGCCTCCCTTACAAGAACCCCATTCTGTGTTTGCAGGGCCTCAGTGCTCGGCAGCAATGGCAAAGCCTCAGAGTAAGGATTCCGGACTGAAGGAGAAATTCAGGAACCTCCTGGGGCTGGGAACATCCCGGGGAAGTTCCAAGTCGTCGGAGGGCAAGCAGACAGAGTTTATCATCACTGCAGAAATACTCAAGGTGTGAGAAGTGAGCGGAGTAAAGGTGGGGAGAGTGCCTGGGTCACCCAAGCTGAGGGATCAGGAGGGCTTGCTCCTCCTCCTTGCTCTTTTGGCTCACAGTCTCTGTTGGATCATTCCCTCTCCTGATCTCTCAACTCACTCTCTAGTGAAATGGATGTAAAAATCACCTGCTTTGCAGCTCCAGCATTTTAGTTATCCAGTGTTTGAATATTTTGGAGATACTTGATAGGATGGTTTTGTCTCACATCAGGTTACAAGGTGTTTCCCTGTTCCCCTCTTTTCTATACTCTGTGCCCAATGAAGCCTCTGTGGTGGCATTCTGAACAAGCTGGGAACTCTTTCTGTTTTATAAAAACCTTACAGTTCTGTGGAAAGTAAAAATAAAATAAAATAATTGATTCCAGTAATTGGTACAGCAAGTCTGTAAGTAGAATAGTTGGCACACAAGGAGGAAAACACAAAAAAAGGGAGAAGGAGACCAGAATTCCTTCTCCCCTTGGAGAAAGGGGTGTTGCCAGTAGGATAAATTGTTAGGTTATTTCTCCATTTCTTTCCAGGAACTGAGCATAGAATGTGGATTGAGTAACAGGATACGAGCAATCGGTCAGATTTGTGAAGTGGCAAAAACCAAAAAAATTGAAGAGGTAAGTTCCAGAGTAAGAACTGAATTCCAGAGTGAGTAACTGAAGAGGTAAGTTCCAAGAGTACTGGAAAGATGGAAATTTAAGCAGCAGCTTTTAACCTATCATAAGAGGCTCCTGTAGTTTAGACTGCCTTTTAAAATTGACAGTCCCAGGGGCTGGTTTGTGCTGTCCAGAGCTGTAAAAGGAAATGAGTCTTGTTCAACCTACCGGCTCTGGAGCAGAGAGGATGGAGCTGATGGGCTTCCTGGACTGACTGGAGGGACAATGCTGTGAATATTCAGGGCAGTTCGTGGAAGATGATGTTAAGAGGGGTTTTCTGTCTCCCTCTGGCTGCTAATAAGCAGCCTCAAATTGTTTTTGAACTCATCTGGTAGATGGGTGAAGGTTTCTGCACAAATCTTCCCACCGAAGTGAGTGAACGAGGAACTTCAGTTCCTGGGGTGCAACTTGTCACGTAGGACGGGATTTGGTGTCTCAGGGGTTTCATCCCCGGATTCATTCATTGCCATAATTAATGACTGACCTACTGGCTGAAGATGCCAGGAAAAGCTGAGCTTTCCTGCTGTGTCCTGTGTTCCCAGCACGCCGTGGAAGCCATCTGGAAGGTGGTGGCTGACATGCTGCAGCCGGAGCGTCCGGCCGAGGCCAGACACGCTGTGCTTCACCTGCTCAAGTCCATCGTTCAAGGACAGGTGAAAACAACCAACCTGGGGAAGGAACACTGACTTAAGCTGGGGTCTGTGCAGAGGAGGAACGTAAAAAATACTGGGCGTCTCTTTTCTACGGGTTTTCATATTTCTTATTTTGGTTGTGCTTCGTAAATGGGAAGAGGAAGTGTTTTAATTTAAGTCTTGGTTTGACCTCATAGCAGAACTTGTCATACAACTCGTAGAAAGCTTTTCTGGTTTGGGGCAACATTCTTGAAAAAGAGGAAATAATTTGCGTTAAGTTCAGCATAATTCAGCAAATTTTACATGGTCTTTGCCCAGACCTTCTAGTCCCAGTCTGCAGCTGGTTTTGATGTTTCAGCATGTTAGGTATCCAAGAGGTTCTGGGTGAGACACTTTTCTAGCCTGGCCAAGTTCAGCATACTGTGAATTCTTCAGATTTCACAATGTGCTGCACAAACATGAGGCTGGATTAGCTCAAAATTGTAGTTTTCAGTGTTCTGGAAAAGCAGGGGTGGATGCTTATGAAAAGAGTAGGCATTGGTTCAATAAAAAAATTTAATTTCAAGCATGAAGATTGCTGTTGTAAACCTTGATAATGTCCAGGCCTTAACCCCCTCCCTTTTTTCCTTTGAAGGGTGAGAGATTAGGGATCCTCAGAGCCCATTTTTTTAAGGTTATTAAGGATTATCCCTCCAATGAAGACTTGCACGAGCGGCTCGAAGTGTTCAAGGCCCTGACAGAGAATGGACGATACATCACCTACTTAGAAGAAGAGTTGGGTGAGCATTGTCCCTCCCCCTCCTCAATTTGGTGGGAATAAGTCAAGGGACAGACATCCAGTGATAAGACAAAAAGGCAGTGATATCATTTCTGGGTAGAAGGCATGTTGTAACAGGCTTTTTTTTCCCTTTCTTTAGCTGATTTTGTCCTACAGTGGATGGATGTTGGTTTGACTTCTGAGTTCCTCCTGGTTTTAGTGAACCTGGTGAAATTCAATAGCTGCTATCTGGAAGGCTATGTAGCTGACATGGTCCAGTAAGTTGGTTTTTTAACTCGTATGTGCTTATTCTTGGTAAATTAGAGGAGAAAGTGGCAGATCAATATAAAGAATTTTTTTAATCCCATCTGGATTTGTTTCATTCCAGGCTGTACCTGACATTTCTGACAAATATTTGATTTTCAATTCTTCCAGTGTCCAGATCTGTTTTAGTTTAACTAAATGTGCTTTTCCTATTTCATGGGGCAGACCTGGTTGCATTGCTTAGTCTCACAAAGGGCCCGTGCTGTTGCATTAGTACAGACCTGCTGAGTTGCATTTAAATGCCACTTTAACTTTATAAAGAGGTTGTAGTGCTCAGTGTCTCAGAGAGTATTACCAACATTGCCACAGGAAGGGGAATGATGAGTTAAATAACATGGCAATTAACCTGTCTGTTTTGTCTCTTTGTAATTTGCCTAAAATCATATGAAGCAAGCAATTAAAATTAAATGTTCTTTCCTAACAGCAAGATCTGCCTCTTGTGCATTCAGACTTCATCATCTGTGGACATAGAGGTCAGTGGTTTGTGTCTCTTTTTGTACTTTAGAATTCTTTGAAATTCTTTGTGGCTTCTACGAACAAAATCAGATCATCAGACTCTTGGTTTATTCTCATCTTTCAAGAGAGTTGATACAAGATTTTACTATTTGTAAGCCATTGGATCTCACACACCAGTAATAATTTTATTTATTTTAAACCAAACAGAGCATTGATCAATTCGATAAGTGAATCAATTTTTCAACAGAGCTTTTTAGAGAGAAAAAAAAACCCAAAAATACCTTCATCCTTTTTGACTTCCAGAGGATTTTTTGGGTCTGCCAATGAGCATTTAACCTGCTTTGTTGGTAGAGAAATGTGTAACCATTTTGTCTTTCCCTTTCTCAAAGATTTCCTTGCAAGTCCTTGACGCAGTTGTTTGCTACAACTGCCTGCCCTCAGAGAACCTGCCCGTGTTCATCATCACTCTGTGCCGTACCATCAACGTGAAGGAGCTCTGTGAGCCCTGCTGGAAGGTCAGAACCTCCTGCCTGGTTTGTTTTTTGATGGATTCACTGGTTTGGCCTCATGGATGAAGTGTCGGTCGTGCCTGTGCACATCTGCTATCAACTTCAGTTTGGTTTTAAGGGTAAATTAAAAATTGCTAAAGTATTAATGGATCAGCATGCTGTTAGTGTGAGTCCTGCCACGTCTGTGGAGTTCACCCCTGGGTTCCAGGTTTCTGTCGTGGCATGGAAAGGGCTGGACACATTTATTTACCAAACACAGCACAACTGGCCAGCTAAATGCGTATTTAGGCTCTGAGTGTTTTAACAAGTAGATATTCAGGTGTTCTCTTTGAATTTGCAGCTCATGCGCAACCTCTTGGGAACTCATCTGGGCCACAGTGCCATCTACAACATGTGCAGGATCATGGAAGACAGGTAAAGAGGAAAAATTCCTCACAAACGCGAGGAGTTCAGTAGAGGTCCTGTTGAGATAGGTGAGGAGTCAGCGACCTCAGTAGAAGAAGCTGAAGGTTCTGGTGCTTAGAAATTAATTCCCTTCCTAGTTATGCTGCTGAAGTGCTCGTTTTTGGGCCTTTCTGAATTTAATTTTCCTCTGTTAAAAGTTGTGGTGGAGGATTTTGGGCTTTTCGTGTTTGTCAACTGCTGTGCGAGGCCCCGATGTGTAAGAGCTGGGAATTCCTGTTGGGGCAGTGTGTGTTCCTGTTGACTTTGTGAGCCCAAATAATTGTAGTATGGTCTGAAACTTGCCTTCCCTGTGTTCTCAGAGCCTACATGGCAGACGCAGCACTGCTGAGAGGGGCCGTGTTCTTCGTGGGGATGGCTCTGTGGGGAGCTCATCGCCTCAATTCCCTCAAGAACTCCCCAACTTCGGTGCTGCCTTCCTTCCTCAAGGTAGGATGGGATGCTGGGGGAACTTTTAAGTCAGTTGTACAAATTTAGAACAAAAAATATGGTCCCCTACACCAGAGATCTTTGTAGGGCCAGAAGATGAGAAGGAGAAATTGGGTGCAGGGTGAAGCAGGGAGAAACAGTGAAACAAGAGGATTTAAGTCTTGGAGCTGAGGCATCCTCCTGGAATATCTTTTTTGGCTGGAAAAGCAAAGTCTGAATTCTTTTTAGCATATATCTACATTGTGGGTACTTTAGCTTTCACTCTTTCCAGTGTGTGGTACAAAAAGTGAGGGACAGTGTCTTCAGGGACAGCCTCAGAGCTCTCAAAACTTCCTCATCCAGGTGCCTCAAGCAGGAATTACTGGCTTGAACTCCTGTGTCTGCCTGTAGGATGGGGCTGTGTTTGACATCTGAAAATCCAGCTGAATGCAGGAGTGCAGAAATCCTCTTGAGAAAACCGTTCTTTGCTGTGTCCTTTGTGTGTAGGGACTTGAATAGATTTATCTCAGGCCTCCAGGCTAATTTCCTAATTAATAAGGCGTGTTTCATTTGAATTAAGAGGCTTTCTGAGCACTACTTTCCAGCTGTTCAGTGACTGAAATGCTTTGTGTCCCAGGCCATGACGTGTCCCAATGCAGTTGTGTCTTACGAGATAGTTCTGTCCATAACACGCCTGATAAAGAAATATGGGAAGGAGCTGCAAGCTGTGACCTGGGATATCCTTTTGGACATCATGGAGCGACTGCTGCAGCAGCTGCAGGTGGGTGTTGAGCCTGCCTCGGTGGGCTCTCATTCCAAAGGCTTTGCCATAGATTTTTTTGCAAGTTACTCTCCTGTTTCTACACTCCAGTGAACTTGGAAGCTGAGGAAGCTTTAGCCCAGTTCCCACTGCTGTGCTTCTCAACTGAGTTTTCTGTTTGTATTTAAAATTAACACTTTCCAGTAAGGTAGAACTCTTTCAGGGATGGTGTTATCTCTGTTTCAGAGTCTGGAGAGCCAAGAACTTAAGTCCATTGTACATGATCTTTTGACTACAGTGGAAGAACTCTGTGACCAGAATGATTTCCATGGTTCTGAAGAGAGATTTTTTGAGCTGGTGGAAAAATGCGCTGATCAGAGACCAGTAAGGCTTTATTAATGTCCTCCTTTGTTGCCAGTTGAATCTATTCTGTTACAGCTTAAAATTTGGGAGTCCTAAAATAGCAGATGGTCAGAAAATCCCAGCAAGGACTTCCATGAGCCTTTTCTCGGGGTGGGGTTGGGAGAATGGATATATTGTGTTTGCTTATACACTAAAAGAATAATTCTTGATCTTTCCATGAAAGGAATCTTCTGTATTAAACTTGATAACATACAGAGCTCAGTCTATCCATCCTGCCAAAGATGGCTGGATTCACAACCTGCAGCTGTTAATGGAGAGATTCTTCAGGTAGGAAATCATAACTTTGTGAACTAATTTTTAAGAAGCACTTTGAAGTGTTTCTTGCCGCCTTTTCACGTTAGAGAATTTTGTTTTCTGAAGTTCTAACGTTCTGAAGTTCCAAGTTAGTAAATGACAGCTTAGAAGTGTGGTAGTCCCAGGGCACAGTACATGAAAGGATTTATTTAACAGGATAAAAGCTTTCCACTAAGTTATTTATGGTGCTTTTTTCCCCCTTTATCTCCATTGGATTCTACTCCAATTAGCTTAGGCAGTTGTGTTCCAGTCCACAGCACTTTGTAGTTCTGACACCAAACAAGATTTTCCTGTTAAGCATCAGGATTGCATATGGTTATTCAGTATTCCAGTTATCTGGTTTTGAATTGGTGCTCCTAAAAGGGTTCTGTGCTCTAAAACATCAACATGTAGGAATAACAAACTTGTGTCTCCTCTGTGAAATGCTGCCAAAGAGCAGCTCTTTCTCAGTGCCATGTGTTTGGTTTTAAATTTGCTCACCAGAGCACTTGTTCTTCTGACATGTGCTTCCTAGTTTGGATTGGAAATGGGTAAACTGCAATTACAGGTCTCCAGAAGTAGTAAAAGCGGAACTGGGATCTGAATTTCCAATAGTTCTTGAATCTGATTTTGTGTGTAGGGACATCAGCTGAAGGCTCAGCTGATCTCTCACTGTTACTGTTCCTGCTCTGAAGTTTCTTATTTTACTTTACTTTCCTTTTCCCTCTTCCCTAAGTATCAACAACCTCATTTTGCTCATTCTGAATTTGCTCTTCCCATTTTAGGAATGAGAGTCGTAGTGCTGTTCGAATTAAGGTTCTGGATGTCCTGTCCTTTGTGCTGAGCATTAACAGACAGTTCTATGAGGTGTGTGTTTACCTGTTTCTGATGACCACATGTGAGGTCTCGGGTGGGTGGGAAGGGGCACATTTCCAGGTGGGCTCCAGGTCCTCTCTGCTGGGGAGGGGATGCACAAAACTGTGCTTGAAATCTTGCACGCACAGCTGACAGCAACATGTCAGGGCTTATGAAGGTCTGTCCTCTTGCAGGAGGAGCTGATAAACCTGGTGGTGATCTCTCAGCTGGCTCACATTCCAGAGGATAAAGACCACCAGGTCCGAAAACTGGCCACTCAGCTGCTCGTGGACCTGGCTGAGGGCTGCAACACTCATCACTTCAACAGCCTGCTGGATATCATAGAGAAGGTGAGCTCCCTGCCAGGGCTGGCAGCACTGCCAGCAGGGATGACCTGCTGTGGGCTTTCCTCACCTTCCAGGATGGAAAGAAAGGAAAGGTGTGTTGCAGATTTAAACCATGTGTTACTTTTCTTTTTGAAAGGTGGCTGCACATTCTCTCTCATCTCCTTCTGAACTGGAAGAGAGGGACTTGCTGTCATATTCAGCTTCTCTGGAGGATGTCAAAACAGCAGTTCTTGGGCTCCTGATAATTCTTCAGGTAAATGCTCCAGAGCATTAAACATATTGTTCATAATAATCTTCTGCTGGACAAGGCCTGTTAGATAACTGTTCCTCCACTGTTAAATAGTCTGACTTTTTTTTAAACTATATAATGTGTTAACTGTTGTTTTGGTCATTCCTTTTGCTTTTGGATGCTGTAGGACTGTTTGCTAAATGTTTTACTTTCCTAATTTCCATTATACAAGGATTACGAGCACATTTTCATGTGGAGAGCAGATGTTCGTAAATTAGCAGAAAAGAAGAGTTCATAACCTTGAATAGATTCATTTTGTTTGGTTGGGATGTTCTGAGCTGTGGTTAAGCAGTTGTGAAGAGCAGGTTGTTCCTGCCAGTGCCCCTCTGGAGCAGACAGGGTTGCTCTGGAGCCTGCAGAGGTTCTTTCCAGAGCCATCTGTTCACCTCGCATTCAGGATCAAGTTTTTGCTGCATTTCTCTTGGGATTCTCAGCGCAGACACACATTTCTGACTGGGTAACAAGTGTCCTTCTGCTGTGTGTCTGTGTCCCTGTCAGACCAAGCTGTACAGTTTGCCCTCCAGCCACGCCATGCGGGTGTACGAGATGCTGATCCAGCACGTCCAGCGCCACTACATCTACTCCTACAGCCTGCCCGTGGCCAGCAGCATCAGGCTGCAGGTAGGAACAGTCTCCCGTGCTCTCAGGGCCAGAGCTGTGTGCTGTCTGGGGAATTCCTGGCTGGCAGGTGGGGTAGGTGTGTTCTAGACCTTGCCAGATGTAGAATGAAATGTTTCTTGGCTCATAGAAGTGTGTAAATGTATTGTAGCCGTGGCACCTCTTAAAAATCCCTGTGTACTTGTAAAAATGTCATGTGGGGAGGTGGGAGAGTATTCCCCTGGTTTGGGGTTTGATTGACTGCAGTGTCTTCCCTGTTCCAGGTATTTGATTTCCTGCTGATGCTCCGAGCTGACTCCCTCCACCGCCTTGGCCTTTCCAACAAGGATGGAGCAGTGAGGTTCAGCCCCTACTGCCTGTGTGATTTTGTGTAGGTTCCTCATTGTGTTAAGCAAAAGAATCCCAACATGGTTTAGGTTGGAAGGGACCTTTAAAGCTCATCTCTTTCCTACCCCCTGCCGTGGGCTGGGACACCTTCCACTAGACCAAGCCCCATCCAACCTGGCCTTGAACACATCTTAATTGACTTGTTTATTTAAAAAGAAGCCCTGTTTTTCAAACTATTTGGGGTTTTTTGCATGAGCTTAATGTTTGCTACTGATGGGCTTAATGGCCCATCAGTAGCAATCTGTAGGTTTTCTTTATCTTCCAAATCTTTGACCAGTTACAACTTAGGATTGTCTGAGCCAATAACTCTTTAGTAAATTGTTCTTACAAATCACTTGCCTGCAGGGCTCTCAATCTCAGACGTGAAATCTATGTTCCTGCTCACAAAACTATTTGCAATTTCCTGCCTCAAGCCAGTTTTCACATTGAGTTTCCATCTGATGATTTCTACAAATCTGATTATTTTTAATTTTATAGCTTGTCTAAAGTTCTCTGTGTAATACACCCCCAAATATACCTTTCTAAATTTGCTACAGACCTGGATAGAAAAATCCTTCACCTGACCAGACAAACTCGTTGCTGTGTTGTACTGGGCAATCCTGGTTTTTTTTAATTGAAAATGCAATTTATATTATTGTTTGGTCTTTAAACTGGCTACCAAATAGGGCAGCACTGTAGTTTACATGAATAGTAACCTGTTCTGAGCATGATTTTACGTTACATTACATGTATTTTTCTCCCTTTCCATGTTGTAGAGAGGCAGAGAAGAGGGCTGCTGACAAAAAGCCCCCTGGCACACTCTCTCCGCCTTCAGGCAGCCCCAGCGTGCCTTCCCAAAATGCCACCATCCGGATTGGGCATCTTCCCTACTCCATGGTCTTCGGGGTCCTCCTGCAGTGCTTGAAGCAGGTACGTCCACCCTTGTCATCTTTGTGTCCCCTTAAACCAGCTGGCTGGGGAATTCTACCCCAAAATTTCTAAATAAGGTCTGAAAAGCAATTTCTTCTCCTTCTTGCCCAGAATCTGAGTGTAATTGTGAAGCTTCACAGCCACCAGTGGGAGCAGCAGCTCAGCTCTTCAGAAAATAAGCACACCTTTCATTTCACTGCTTCAGAGCAGACAGGGGCAAAAAAAATGTTCTTGTTAAACAAGATTAAACAAGTCATCCTGTTTCTGAAAGGGCATTTGAAAGTTCCATCCTACTGGAGGTTTTTGAGGTGTTTTGAGAATTGATGGATGTTTCGGTCACTAATAAGCTGTGAATATAAATTGTTCCTGAGGGTGGAATTGGACACGGTTCTGTGTGAGGGGTTGGCTGGCTTCTGGAAGCTAATTCGTGCTGGTGCTTAAGAGAATTGAATTCTGGCTCTGTCTTGTTGAGCTCTGCCAGATCTGGATACAATTTCTCTTCCAGTTTGTGGTGCCAATGTTGCACCTAGAGCTGAGTGACAGACAGGGAGAAACTTGTGACAGCTAAATGCCACTTCTTTTTCTGGAGCTGCCATGACAAGACCCACATCTGCCTAGGAAATGGCACGTTGTCTGGAATTTGATTGATCTTACTTTCAAACTGAACTGAAATCACACAAAAATTTCAACTTTATCGTTTTCTTTCCTTGCAGGAGACAGACTGGAAGGTGTTGAAGTTGGTTCTCAACAAATTACCCGAATCCCTCCGCTATAAAGTGCTGTTTTTAACCTCTCCTTGTAACATTGACCTCCTGGCCTCTGCGCTGAGCTACATGGTAATGCCACTGATGCACAGTCACCATGGCCTTGGTTTGCTTGGGAGTTGGCTGGGGTTTGTTTTTAGAGTGTTTTTCTGTCTGCAGTCTGATATTTTAAAGATGAGCAGGCTGTTTGTCAATCCTCACTCACCTTCTCTTTTGTGAGGGTCGTTTTAGGTACAGAGTGGGTAATAATGAGTGTTCTTTATATATATATATATGCACGTGTGTGAAAAGGGAGCTGTGGCAGTGCCTGTCTGCTGCCTTTTAGAGAGTGTTTTTAGTGTGCAGTGTCCTGAGTGGCTGTGATGTGTCAGCTCACAGACAAGAAGACCACAGACCGGCTCCACGGAACCCCAGAAGGCTTCTCCCGCACTGATTTGCACCTGGCTGTGGTCCCAGTGCTGACAGCATTGATATCTTACCATAACTACCTGGACAAAGCTAAGCAGGTATGGGGGAGGTAGGAGGGTGTAAGAGGTTGGGACCTGAGCCTGTAGAGAGAGCATTTTCTGTATGAGCTTATTAGGACACAGAGAGGAAGGTAGCACTGCCCTTTGCTGTTAGGAAAAGCTGCATCTGCTGAATTTGGGGTGGGATCAGGGGGAAAAAGTACTTTGCTAACTCCATGCAGGATTAGCTGCCTGGTCAGGTGGATTCACTGCTCACCTGTTCCCCCTTGCACTTTACTCTCTGCAGTAAGACCGTTATGACCCCAAAATTCTGCTGAATCAGAAGCTTAAATATTAATGTCTCAACTGTCTGCTTGATTCAAGTCCCACGTTAAGATTTTGGCCTATAATACGTGGAGCTCTCTGTAAGGCTCTGTGTTAGAATTCCGGTGTGTCAGACAGGCCTTGCAGGCTGTTCTGGAATGCTGACTGGAGTCAGGAGATGGTGCAGCAGGGATTTTCTGTTTTCCTGTGTTAAGGCTTTGTTTCCTGTCCCCTCTTGCAGCGTGAGATCGTGTATTGCCTGGAGCACGGGCTGATCTATCGCTGTGCCAACCAGTGTGTGGTGGCACTGTCAGTCTGCAGTGTGGAGATGCCCGACATCATCATCAAGGCACTCCCTGTCCTCATAGTCAAATTAACCCACATTTCTGCCACAGCCAACATGGCAATCCCTCTCCTAGAATTCCTGTCAAGTAAGTTGTGATGTTCTTCTCCTTTCGGTCTTCTATAGTTGTGTTGTTTGCGCTGAATGAGGGTATTTTGATTGTGTTGGTCATATGGAATGCACTGTAAGGGTTTCAGTGATGCCCTTGCTCCATCCTCCAGACATAAATGTTTGATCAACTCTTGTTTGTTACTGGTTTTCTATTTAAAGCACTTGCACTGAAGAGAGAGACATACTCTGTATAGTGCAGCCATTGTGCTACTTCCATGTCAGCCAATCATTTAGAAGAAACAAAATAATTCAAATTAAACTGAGTTGTGATGTTGAATGGTTTGTGTTCAGTCCTCACCTGTGTTGGTTTTCTTGTTGAACTGTTCCAGCTCTGGCCAGGCTGCCTCACCTGTACAGGAACTTTGCAGCAGAGCAGTACGCGAGCGTGTTCGCCATCTCCCTGCCCTACACAAACCCCTCCAAGTAAGGCCACAGCAAATGTGCTGCTTCCTCCTCTCTAAAATTAACAGTATAGAGATGACTTTCTTGTAGTACTTGGCTCAAGGTTATTTATAGGATATTGCTCATTCTGGTGTCTCCAGGCTTGTCCTGAAGAAGGGACATTTCTTCCCTGTGAGGGTGGGGAGGCCCTGGCACAGGTTGCCCAGAGAAGCTGTGGCTGCCCCATCCCTGGAAGTGTCCAAGGCCAGGTTGGACAGGGCTTGGAACAACCTGGGCCAGTGGGAGGTGTCCCTGCCCATGGCAGGGGGGTGGAATGAGATGATCTTTAAGGTCCCTTCAAACCCAAACCACTTGAGGATTCCGTGATACGATTCTATGGCGTGGTCACCTTGGACAAAATACCTGTTTTTCTTGAACAGAACTTTTGAGGGTTTTCTTTATATTTAGAGTAGGGGAAGGATGAGGTCTGTTTCTCAGATTGAAACATGCTGCATTAAGCTCTGGAGGTGTTTCTGCTGTTCCAGGTTTAACCAGTACATCGTTTGCCTGGCCCACCACGTGATCGCCATGTGGTTCATCCGCTGCCGCCTCCCCTTCCGGAAGGACTTCGTCCCCTACATCACCAAGGTAATGGGCACAGCTCAGTCCAGCAGCACAGAGTGAAAGGGATGGCTTACAAAGTGATTGAGGACTTTAAAGGTTCTGTTTGAAGAAAAAAAATCTACTTCTCAACATCTCTTTTAAAACTGCCCGTGAGCTCTCGTGCGTTGACCTGGCCTTGCAGACTTTGAGCTGCCCGTTGTGGCCACTGACACTGTCCCCTCTTGTCCCCACGGGCAGGGTTTGCGCTCCAACGTGCTCCTCTCCTTCGACGACACCCCTGAGAAGGACAGCTTCAGGGCTCGCAGCACGAGCCTCAACGAGAGGCCAAAGAGGTAAATTCCCTCGGAGCCCAGCGGGGCCTGTGTTCCCTGCTCTCTGCTCACACCCTTCCCTGTGTTTCTCTGAAGGAGGCTGGGTCTGGTTATCCAAAATGTGTCAGTGCAGTAAGCAAGGAAAGTAAACCTCTTTAGGTCAGGGGATTGGGCCAAGACAAGCAGGTTGGTGGGAAGTTGGGATCAAACCAGGCCTGGAAGCCTTTGCAGTGAGGTGTGGGGCTTTGTGGTGCTAATTTTTGAAAATCAGCAGTTCTTTCAGGTCGATGTGTGTCAATGCAGTGTTACCAGAAATAACAGGGTAGGGTGGTACCAGAAGGAACAGAATCCCATGTTCATATGGATTGTGTGAACTTCTTTCATAACTGATCTGTAACGACTGATTTTTAAATGATTACCAGAGAATTGGTTGTGATCAGCAACCTGGATAAATTAGAGAGCCAGTGCTGTGTTTTCCATGATGTTCCCTGTCGGGTCAGTGCACTGGCTGGCACAAAGCTGCCTTCTGTCTGTCTGGATGTCCTGATCCCTTTTTATTTTTTCATTTTGAAGCCCTCATGTCAGTTTTGGCAAAGCCTCTAATTAGAAGTCAGAGCATATCTCTCCAGCAATCTTTCAGAGCAGCCTTTTGCATATTCCTTGGAAGGCATTCAGGGTTTCTCCAACGTCCTTTTACCTGCAGGGATTACCTAAATTGGTTCACTTAACTTGCTTCAGTGTTCTGAGAAGTGAGCACATGGTGGCATCTGAACCCTGGAAAGTGCCTCTACTTTACCTGCAAGGCTCAAGGAGAGTCTTGCACTGAAGAAACACCATCCCTGCCCTAATGCTGCAGCTGTAAACCCTGTGTTGTGTTTTGTCTCTCCCACCTCCTCCTCTTTCATCCAGAAACATGGAAGAGAAGCCTTTTGACACTCATCTCTCCAATTAGAATTTCAACTAATCTTTCTTTTTCCTTTTTTTCCCCCCAAAAAACCCTGTTAAATTCTACCAGGTTGGAATACTACTGTGTCTAAAGGCTTTTGCTGGATGACTTTGCACAGGAGTCCCTGCTGAGGAGTGTGGGCTGTTCTCAGGCAGTGACCTGAAGCACTGGAATGGCAGGATGCCACTGCCTCTGGGTCTGGCTGAGCTTGGATTCTGGCCGGGGGAGAGAGGAAATAGCTTGGAGCAGATATATGTCCTTGCTTGAGAGGCTTCTGTGCTTGGTTGTGTCTCCTTGAGCCCAAAGAATGAGCATTCCCAAGCCCTAGCTGAGGTACTGGGTGTTCCAAGAGATCACATTCCCAATGGTTCCCAGGGCTTCTGGATGTCCTGATGCTGGTGGAGGTGATGGTTTCCCAGTGTGGGCCTGTGCTCTCTGCAGCACATCCCCAGTGGTGGCCAAAAGTGATCTGAGAGAGGTTGTTGGGAGAAGGACAGATAAATTCTACTCCCTGCAGGTGGCAAACTGAGATGTACTAACTCACTGAAAGGAGGATGGCAAATAAACTGTGGTTAGAAAGAGCCAGAAGGGTTAAGTCAGTGTCTGTATTTTACACACGGGGGTGGGAACTGCTGGACCAACTGTTCTGTCCAAATTAGTGCCAAGCCTGGTGAGCGTCTCAGTGACTAATTAAAAGTGCCTCTTAGATCTTAATTGCTGTCATCTCCCACATGTGGTTGGCACTTGACAGCGTGAACACTAATTTCCTCTCTGCTCCAGTTGAAAGTCAAGTGGGTTACCTGGAGCCCCTGGAATTAAGCAGCTGGTTTGGCAAAGAAGCATCACAGAGTCCACAGCAGCCAAGGGGGTGTTTGCTGGCTGTGCAGTGTGGGAAGGGTCTCGTGTGGGTGGGCTGAGTGTCCCCAGTGCCTCGAGCTGAGCTGGGGAGCACCTCTGAGAGGCCCTGGTTGTGTTGTGAGTGGGGTGAAAGCTCAGATTTGAGCCAGGCCTGGCAGAGACAGAGATGGGTGACGTGTTCCTGTGTCTCTTAGAAAAACCTGCTCCTGCCTGGTGTAGGTAAAGCACTTTAGGATCTGTGGAAGTCCTCAGGTGTTTAGTTGTGCTGAGATGATGAGCTGGGGCAACGCAAGACGTGGTTGAACTGCACAAAACTTCTCAGCCTTGAGGAGTTTGTGCCCAGTGAGCCCTCAGGTGCCTTTGGTGAACAGCTCAGTATTCCAACTCTCATTTCAACCAGTTTTTTTCTTTTAGCTTGTACTAATTTCATTTGTTTTGTAGCACATTTAAAAATCTTGTTTTCAAAATGTGGTTTGTCTTTTTAATGCTTTCGGCTCTGCTTGTTTGTACGTTTTAATTTTTTTTCTGTTTCCCTTTTTTTTTCCCCCTTTTTTTTTTTTTTTGGCATTTGTTTTTATTTTCCATCACCCTGCTGGGATCCCCCAATATTGACCCCGTGACTGTGACCTTTCAACCTACATCCCTACAATGATTTCCTCCCTTCCTGTGACCTCTTTTGGGGGCTTGGTGCTTCTCCACATAGTAGTTTAAGACTAGCCAAAAATGCAAAGCAAGGCTTGAATAACTCTCCTCCAGTGAAAGAGCTGAAAGAACCCTCTGCAGTTGATGCCTTCCGGTCCCGCAGCATCAGTGTGTCTGAACATGTGGTCCGCAGGTAGAGGCACTTTGAATGGGGACAATCCAAGAGCAACTGAGCCCTTGGAGGTTTTCCTGCAGGGGTGGGTGGTAGCAGGGGGGATTTGCATGTGGGATGCTTGCATGACTCTGGTACCCGACCAAAATCTGGCCTTGGCCCCAGCGAAAGGTTTTGGGTGTCCTGTGGCTTCCCAAGGTGGGATGTTGGGCTGTCACATCACGCCCTGTGTGTGTGTGTGTGGTTACTTTGCCGCGTTCTCTGGTGCTACAGCGACGAAAAATTGTGGTTTCAAAGTAAAGATGGTGAAGGGGGGGGGAAAAAACAAAAAACATCCAAAAAAAACCCACCAAAAAAAGAGGAAAAAGGTTGCATTCTGTGCAAAGTGAGAGATCTGGTTACAACTGACTAAAACTTGAGCCTTCCAAGTAGACTTGCCCCACTTTGGAGACACTTTGGAAGCTCTGCAAAGTTATATAGAGACCTTCCTCCCAGCCTAGAAGGAACAGTCCTGGCCTCAGTTTAGGATTTGTTGGTTGAGGTAAAGGAGCTGATGGAAGTATTCAGGTCTCCAATAAGATGCTATGAAAACCTGAATTTGTCTTTCCACAGAACAGTGAAGGGTGTGCTCAGCCCATGGGAAGCTGTTGCTTTCACAACTAAAGAAAACAAGATTTGATTTCAGGCACTGATTTGATTGATTGACAAGATTTGATTGCAGACATTGATCTGCTCCCATGAAAGATGAAACAGTTGATGCCAGTTTTTAAAACGTATTTCTGGATCACTTCCCTCGAGAGTTAAACTGCTGTTGGTTTTAATTCTGAACCTGAAGATTTGTGCCTTAATCTGTAGGATTGCTGTCAGTGGAACTTGATTTTCTGGTTTGGTTTTTTTTTATTTTTGACTATATATGGTATGTGGGGAGAAGAGACCGAAGTGACTGAGTAGCAGATATAATTCTGACACTTCATTTGATGGAAGAAATTCCTCCTTGTGAGGGTGCTCAGGCCCTGGCACAGGTTGCCCAGAGAAGCTGTGGCTGCCCCATCCAAGGCCAGGTTGGACAGGGCTTGGAGCAACCTGGGCTAGTGGGAGGTGTCCCTGCCCATGGCAGGGGGTGGGACAGGATGGGGTTTAAGTTCCCTTCCAACCCAAACCATCCCAGGATTCTGTGATTCTCTGGCATCCCCATTAATCACTGGGTGATTTTTTTTCTCTTATATTTATGTATAAATAGTAGCAACTAAAAATTCAGATAATTACCATTAATGATGCCAAAGAAGTTGTCATGTCATAAAAAAATTTGGCTGTACTTCACTTAGTTTGTATTACGATGGCATAAGGAGTTTCTTTGTAAAATACTGCAGTCCAGCCTGCTACAGAAACTGGTTTAAGCTGCCTTGTTAACTTGGCTGATTTGAAGGCCAATTTCCTGTTCAGAGTGCAATTTTTTTTCTATTTCAAGTTAAATTAGGTTTTATGTAGCTGTTGAATTTGGAGGGAAAAAAACAATATATGGAAGAGATGCAACAGAGAAAAAAGCAAACCACTGGATTATAAAGTTAAATCTGGAGTGCCTCAATTTCTGGCTCATGGGCAACGTTCTGCCTGGGAAGCTGGTGCTGGTTCAGGGGATGCTTGCCCTCAGCATAGATTAGTGAACTCAGAGCATGGTGCTGCCACTCACTCCTTGCTTGGGGCACTTGCCCATGGGCCACCAACCTCAGAGAGCACTGGCCAGCTGACTGACACTGGAGTGTTCTCAGTCTCTCCAGATAAAATACGCTTTCTGCAAGGGCAGGCAGCGAAACACAACGTGAGGCTGATCCAAAAATATGTTGCTATGCCCTGGGTTTGGTGCCTGGCCACCTCTCTGATCTGGCACGTGCATGTGTGGCAGGGTCTGTGTCCCACTGTCTGTCGGGGTGACAGGGACCAGCATCCTGCAGTGTGATCTGTCAGTCGGAAACATTCTCTTCCAGTCGGATCCAAACGTCCATCACCAGCTCCAGCCTGGGCTCTGCAGATGAAAATTCAATGGCTCAGGCTGATGACAACTTAAAAAACCTGCACCTGGAGCTCACAGAGACCTGCCTGGATATGATGGCTCGATACGTCTTCTCCAACTTCACTGCGGTGCCAAAGAGGTAACGGGGCCAGTCACTGACCACGGGAGAGAGGGCTTGGGTTGGGGATCAGATTTCACCTCATTAGTGGAAAATTCCTGTGACATGTTGGGATTCTGGCAGGCCCAGGCTCTGAAGCCTTTCCTGACTGATAAAATCTGGCTTGGCTAAAGAGGAGGTTACATGAGACAAGATTGGAGAAGAGAAGGCTCCAAGGAGACCTTAGAGCCCCTTCCAGTGCCTAAAGGGGCTCCAGGAGAGCTGGAGAGGGACTGGGGACAAGGGATGGAGTGACAGGACAAGGGGGGGGGCTTCCCACTGACAGAGTGCAGGGTTAGAATTCTTCCCTGTGAGGGTGGTGAGGCCCTGGCACAGGTTGCCCAGAGAAGCTGTGGCTGCCCCATCCCTGGAAGTGTCCAAGGCCAGGTTGGATGAGGCTTGTAGCAACCTGGGCTGGTGGAAGGTGTCCCTGCCTGTGGCAGGGGCTGGAACTGGATGATCTCGAAGGTCCCTTCCAACCCAAACCATTCCATGATTCTGTGAAGTCCATTGGAGACAATCAGCCTTTGTCTCAGCCTGGAACTGTCTGAAGGAGATGCCTTGAAGGCTCTGGGAGCAGTGCTTTGTTTCATGTCCTTGTTGGATAGTCACAGTCTCTGCTACAGAAGGTCATGCATTGTCCTGATGGATAATGTGTGTGTTGACAGCCAAGGGGAATGGTACAGATGCTGTATAAAGAAGGAAAGCAGGCAGGTTCTCCTGCATGGTTAATGAAATCTGCTCTGTTCCCTGCCTCCTGAGGAAGGTCTTCATCACAAGTGTGTTCCCAGGTCTCCCGTGGGCGAGTTTCTTTTGGCTGGAGGGAGGACAAAGACGTGGCTGGTTGGTAACAAGCTGGTGACCATCACTACAAGTGTTGGAACAGGGACAAGGTCCTTGCTTGGCCTGGACTCTGGAGAGTTCCAAAGCCCCACGGAATCAAGGTAATTTTTGCTCCTATTTCTAGAAGTTTCCACCTAACTTTAGCCTAACCCACTGTTACAGTGCATCTTTTTAGTTTTTCCTCCTGTTAGACGAGGGATGTCTTATTTGTCCAGCATGACTGATTCATCTCAACATCACCAATATCTTCTTTTCCCACAGCTCAGACCCTGTTTTGCAAGTGAGACAGACTAAAGAAGCTCCAGCCAAACTGGAATCTCAGGCTGGGCAGCAGGTTTGCAGAAGCTCTCGCAACAGAGTCCGATCCATGTCGGGTGAGTTCCTGTCCTGGAGTCTCTCTGCCATCCTTGCGTTCATGTCACAGGTCTAAGTGTCCAAGTGCCTCCTGTGGCTGAGCTGTTTTGAGGCTCTGGACCTGTCTGGTGTTTAATAATGGGCAGGTGGGGCTCCTTCTGCTTCCCTCTCCTTGCAGGAGAGCCTTGGTGACCACAGAAGTTGGTTTAGAGGAAACACGGGGAAGGTAAAATTCCCTTGGGTTCCTGGCATGGTTTAACACCATTTGGCAGCTAAGCCTCACCCAGATGCTCCCTCAGTCCCCTGTGGTGGGATGGGGAAAGAATTGGAAGGAGAAAAGTAAGAAAACTTGTGGGTTGAGAGAAGAACAGTTTAATAATGGAAATAAGATAATAGTAAGAATAATAATTGTAATGAAAAGGAAAATAAAAACTAGGGCAGTTCCCAATATTGTACATGCAGCTGCTGGAGGATCTTAAAAGCCTTATTCCTGAGCTGTTTTGGGGGCTAACTCTCCCTTGGTTTGTGTCTGTCCTGCCAGGTGGTCATGCCTTACGTGTTGGTGCCTTAGACAGCTCAGGCTCCCATTTTGCCAGTGGCTCCACCTCCCAAGGGACACAGGGCCCTCCTGCTCCTGCAGCTCGCTCGGAGAAGGCTAATCCTGCTCCACAGACACCCCTGCAGAAGGAAAAAGCAAACTTGGCTGCCTATGTCCCACTGCTGACCCAGGGCTGGGCAGAAATCCTGGTGCGCAGACCCACAGGTACGACCCTGAGTGTGGAGTGAGATCCGGGACCTGGGAGAAACCAGAGCATGGGGGAAGAATAATCCATATTTAGTTGTGTATGGGTTGCTCTTCATTGCTTGCTGCCTTTTGAAACTGTAGAACCATGGAATGGTTTGGGTGGGAAGGGACCTTAAAGGCCATCCAGTTCCACCCCCTGCCATTTGCAGGGACACCTTCCACTAGCCCAGGTTGCTCCAAGCCCCGTCCAACCTGGCCTTGGACACTTCCAGGGATGGGGCATCTACAACCTTGAGCAGCTGCACAGTGGTGTTTGCTCTTGGGGAAGGAACAGTGACGTGTTCAAGGTCAAAATTCTTGAACACTGGTGTGTTCCACAACATAACAGGAATTATCTCTTTCAGCTGAAATCTGGTTCATGAGAAAATAACTGACCTGGTATCATTAATTAAAATACCTGAGTGTTTTGGATGACTTTGGAGAATCTGCTGTAGTAATGAGTTACCAGGTTTTGAAGAGCTTGGGGTGAGGTGCAGAGCACAGGGAGGAGGAAATGAATCAAGTGATTCTGCAGAAGAACCGAGAGCTTGGTCCAGTTTGATTTTGATCTGCAAACTGCAAAACAACTTGTGCTTTTTCAGCCTGAGCTGGGAATACTCAATACCCTTCCCTGCTTTTCCCTCCCAGGTAACACCAGCTGGCTGATGAGTCTGGAGAACCCGCTCAGCCCGTTCTCCTCAGACATCAACAACATGCCCCTGCAGGAGCTCTCCAATGCCCTCATGGCTGCAGAGCGCTTCAAGGAGCACCGGGAAACGGCTCTTTACAAATCCCTGTCTGTGCCCTCCTCCAGCCTGGCCACGGGAACAGCCAAACCCTCGCTCCTGCAGCGCTCCAACACAGGTGAGAGCTCCGGGCAGGGAGCCTGGCCCGGGGGGAGCTGTGAGGCTGCAGGGCTTCTAGGGCAGCACAGCTGGGAGCATGAGGGGAGTCAGTTCTTGTCCCTAGGAGTTTTCAGTGAAAAACTCCCTTCCTCCTTGCCTCTGCTGTTCCGTGGGAAAAGCACCTCTCTGTTAGAGAGAAGGAAGAGGAGTCACGGAGCTTCCCGGGAGGAGTCGTGTGTTCCGTGTGTTCCCAAATGAAAATGAACAAAGTCATGGATCTGTTCCCTCTTCCACTTGCTTGGGGCTGATCTGGGCATCCCACTTGTGGATGGATCTTTCCATGCAGTGTTTCCATTTCCATTTGTCTTCAGTATGGGAGTCTGTGTTGGGCACTCAGAGCTGTAGGTTCCTGGGGGAAGGGCCTGTTCCAAACCTGGCCAGCCAGGATCAGGCAGATGCCACTGGCCTCGACAGCAGGAGATAACCAGAATGCAAATCCTGTTGGATTTATCCACCTCTGAAAAGGACTATTCAGACTTTAGTTGAACCACTTGAGTTTCATTTGCTGCCTTTCTTTTAACACAGTGGCCAAGGATTTTCACTCAGTTTGTTTTGGTGCTAGTTCAGCTCCTAAAAAGCTGTTAATGTTGGGAGATTAGTGTTGACCCACAGCTTTTAAAGCTTTCTGTAATCCCTGCTCATTATCTTATCAATGATGCCCACACTGAGGTTCTGAGCACACTGCTGGCAGTGGTACCAGCAGACCAGGCTTTGCTGGGGAGCAGGGAGATGGATTGTCTGGAAATCTGGTAAAAATGCCAGTTTTGAGGTTTGTTTTAAGCAGGGCAGGGTATGATTTTAGGATTTCAGAAAGTGCAAACACAAAATTGGAATAAAAATCAAATTATCATCTCTTAAAACCAAAAAAATTTAAATTCTTATCTGTGAACCTACAAATTTGAGGTGTATAGGAGTAAGTGATGAGCTGAAAGCACCACCTGAATGCCACTCCTGTGCCAGTCTGAGAGAGTAATTTTGGCCACATCCTTGTTAACATCTCCAGTAGACTTGCAGGAGCTGGCTGGGAATGACTGGAAGAAGTTTTGCTGTCAGTCTGTCACGTGCCTGTTGTTCTGCCTCTTCAGAGGTTAAACCTTTGTGAGTCTTTACCTGTGTTTCTGCTCTTCTGTGGGTTTAAAAATGATCTTGTGCCAAGAGTGTGTAGGTCAGGAGGGGCTCAGCCTGGTTTCCTGTGTGTGCTGGGATATCAGGAAGGAATTTTCTGTGTCTAAACCTCACCAAATGTGTTCTGCAAAGGGAGCAGTTGGAGCCTGCACTGTTGGATGTGTTTATGCCTCCCTTATTTGTGTTGAGACCTTGTAGCCCTAAATACCCCTTTGGCATCTAGTGAGCTTATCCCAGCTTGTTCTTTCCTTTGTTTCATTTATTTGTTTATTTGTTTTAAAATAGGCTCTTGGTTACATTTTGAACTCTGTGCTTTTTAATTTTTTTATATTTTTTATTTTCATATAGTCTCTCCTTCCTTTTGATGTAGCTGCTCACTTGATTTCCCTTTGCAGTGGCCTCTTTCTCTTCCATGTACCAGTCCAGTTGTCAAGGGAAGTTGCACAGGAGCATATCCTGGGCAGGTATATTTATATATCTTTAAGGAAAAAAAAAAAAACAAACCAACAAACAGTATTGCCATAGAAGAACACCTCTGATTCATAGAAAATGTATCCCTCATCCCTCATTTTCCCTTTCCATGTCTCCTGTCTGTCCCCAGTCTCATCACTCTCAACAAATGGGATCTTGACTAGCATGAAGAAGTCCAAGCCAGATCCAACATTTGCAAGTGCAGACAATTTCCTAAAGAAACTTTGGGTTTAGCTGGGGTGGCTTGTGAGTCCTGAGGCAGAGTGTTAAACGACCTGTCTGGGTGCCTTGATTAATTGAATTCTTCATTTTCAGCTTCAGTTTACAATTGGCTTTGTGTTCTGCTCAGTGTAAAAGCTCCCACTTGTGAGAAGAGCAGCATGTGCTGCAGGACAAGCTCCCCTGAAATGGAGTCCTTGGCTGCTCAGCCCACAGGAATCTGCCAGAATTGGACACAGCAAGATGTGAAAGAAAAATATATATATTTTTGAAATATATGTAAAGTTTGACACTAGCATGGATGGTGGTTTAAGAGTATTATAAATAAAAAATATATCAGCAGAAAACCTGCTCAATTCTACCTTTCAGAGGCTCTATAACAGTGTAAAATCCTTCTCCACTTCAGTAAAATTGATTTTGTAATTAAATGAAGTGGAGATCAAATTACACACCTTATGAGCACAACACCTGCATTGCTTTGATAACCTGCAGTGCTTTGTGATTTTAATTAGAGGGTTCAAATGTCTTTCTGCCTCTTTCCTTCACTGGAAAACTCCCTGTAGAGCACTGGGGTGTTCTGAGCTGCTGGTGGGTGTTGTCAGAGGCCTCTCAAAGCAACACAAAGCTGCTGCAGTTAAATATTTTTCTGCACTTCTCTCTGCTCCTGTTATTCTCTTCCCACCTAAAGAATAATTAGTGCTTGGATTATTTCAAAGCACCAGCAATCTTGGCAGAGGTGTAAGAGGGAAGCTTGGAAGCACTGGCTATGTGCAGGTGTGTTCTGGCTTGGACAGCTAACCAGATCAGCACGTTGTTTTGGTTCCTTTTGGTTTGTTTTGTATTTTTTAGAAGGTTTGTGTGTGCAATGCTAACTCTTAATTGCTTCTTTGAAATAACTTTGGTCCTGCGAGCTGAAATCAATCCAGGAAAAGCTGCTTTAGTGATTTTTCTTTGTATTTTTTTAATTTTGCTGATTTTCTTTTTTTCTTTTTTTTTTTTTTTTCTGTGTGTGTGTGCTAATTTTTGGTTTTATTATTATTATTTTGGAAAACAAATCTTGGCCTTTCAGATTGGTCTTCCAGTCCCTTGTGTGCATAATGGGAAGCCTCCTGTTCTCCAGCCTTTTCCTCAGGACAAAAAGCAAGGCCAAGAGGAGCCTTTGGTCAGACTCATCCCTGTGGTCAGTGCCTGGAGCAGATCCCACATTAAATCCCCCATGTATGCAGGGATTCCAAGGAGTTTTCTTGTCAGTGTGGTTCCATTCCCTGTTTGTCTGAGCAGGTGCCACGTGCAGCTTTGCTGCAGTGCCCGAGTCACTCCTGCTCCTGTCCTTCCACATGTTTAGGGCTGAATTGTTTTGCTTCTCCTGAGATATACCAGGAAAACTGCCAAACTGCAAGGAAATGGCTCCTAGGAAAATTTCTTATCTCCTTCCAGGCCTCAAGGCACAGGAGTGTTGCATTTCAGTACAAGAAAAACTCCCTGTGTCGCAGACTTGCACAGAACTGACGTCTCAGTGAACTTTTAGCACTAGTCTTGTGCTTTCCTACATCTCTGTAGTTCCTGTCTGTCCTGGTAACCAATGTCCAAGGTCCCATTTCCTCATTCTGTCCCCTCCTTGTTCATCAGTAACAATTGGAAACAACTGCACTTCCTTTGCCCGAGGCAGCCCTTTGCTGTGAGGGGGATTTATTCCGTGCCAAAGGGGAACCTGGAGCGAGTCTGACATGCCAAGAAACCAAAGAGCACTCATTCCACATGGCCTTCCGTTGAGATCCCCTAGGGAAAAGGCTGGTACTTCAGAGGAGAGGATGGGGGCCTGCCCCTCTGGGCCCTCCCCACACCTCAGCTGCCCTGCCCTGTGTCTCCGTAGAATCCGCCGTGGTGCTGGAGGAGGGGAGCGCGGGCGAGATGGAGCTCAAGGAAACCGAGTCCCCGGTGGAGTCTCCGGAGAGTGAGGACATGGAGACGTCGTGTTCGGAGCACGTCCTGAGCGAGGAAAGGTTTGGTAAAGGCCAGGAGTCCTACAGCAGGGTAAGGAGAACCAGGGGGAGCAGCGTGTCCTGGGTGAGAGCCACGGCAGAGTCACCTGTGACTTCCCTCTTGGCACCCTGGGAACAACTCGCTGATGGCATCCAAGTGGAGCCATCACTGAGAGTGTGGATGGCCTGGGGGACTGCAGGGGAAAACACCTGCTTTATCAGGGTCCTTGATCCACATTACTTTGAGCTTGGCACCACCCTGCTCACCAGCTTTTATTTTGGCTCTCAGGAAAAGGAAGAATTTCGTTACTATAAGGGTGGGGAGGCCCTGGCACAGGTTGCCCAGAGAAGCTGTGGCTGCCCCATCCCTGCAAGTGTCCAAGGCCAGGCTGGACGGGGCTTGGAGCAACCTGGGCTAGTGGAAGGTGTCCCTGCCCATGGCAGGGGGTGGGATGGGGTTTAAGGTCTTTTCCAACCCAAACCATTCTGGAATTCTGTGATTCCATGAAAACTGTTCATCTTTGTTTCTCTCTTTTTAAGTCCTCCTCCACCTCCAGCCAAGAAGACAAATCAATGAAGTCGGAAGACCTGGCGGAGGGCGGAATTCCCATTGGGAGAGAGGACGGCCGGACGCTGGAGGAACTCTCCTTCCAGCCATCCCAGCCACTCAGCAAGTCCAGCTCCTCCCCCGAGCTCCAGACGCTGCAGGAGGTCCTCAAGGATGCAAATGGCAGAGAAGTGACGAGGAGGCTGAGCACAGAAGTGAAATCCAAATCCCAGTCTGGGAACCTGGAAGGGGAAGGGCTGGGCAGCTGGCTGGGCAGGGGGGAGGACTCCAGGGGCACTGGCTCAGGCTTGGATGGCACCGGAGCCGCCACCTCTCCCCGCTCCCCCTCGGGACACCGGCCCCGGGGATACACCATCTCCGACTCTGCCCCGTCCAGGAGGGGGAAGAGGATCGAGAGAGACGCCTTCAAGGGCAGGACAGCAGCTTCCAACGCTGAGAAAGTCCCCGGGATAAACCCCAGGTGGGTGGAGGGGCTCTCTGGGCCAGAATGGGAGCTCGGAACTGCTGCGTCATTGCTGGGCTCGTCCAGAGCTCTCACGGGCTCTGCAAAGCAGTACCTGATTGAAAAGGTTGATTGCCTGCTTTATTAAGGAGCCAATACAGAAATATTGAGCCCACTACTGAATTAGATTTGTGATTTAGGAAACAGAACTCCTAAACGGTGAAAGAAGTAGATGAATAGCTTCCTCATGTTCTTAATCTATGCTAATTTAAGGTGTGTGGCTCAGCTGCAGGTCACCTAGAGTTAATTTTGCTGGGAGCAGGATGAATTGCTAGTTTTACATTTCAAGAAATATAATGTGTAAAATCCTAAGAAAAAGAAATAGAAGGGTTATAATTGTTACTTTCTGAACTTGAGATAACAGTAATTGCCCAAAATTGCATGATGAGACCATTTTTATCTTACCGAGGTGAGGGTAGGTAGAATGGAAATGTCTGTGCAATCATGTGTCTGATAGCCCAGAAATACCCCTGGAGCTGTGAGGCAGGAGGGCATTCTGTGCCTTTGAACAGGGAATTTGTGTGGCTGCTGCTGTTTGACACATCATTGTTTTTCTGACAGGGGTCTATTACAAACTGCAGGTAGCCCAGGCACCTAAAGTGTCTGAAAGATGAGTAATACCCTGTTAGCATTTTCATTGCTCCTATTTTTCTGCTGTACATAATGTTCTTGCATCCAACAGATCAAAATGGACCTAATTTTTATGGTAATTGAACTTTTTCCTCCCTCTCTCCCTTAGCTTTGTGTTTTTACAGTTGTACCACTCCCCATTCTTTGGTGATGAAAACAACAAGCCCCTCTTGTTGCCAAATGAGGTAGGCAAGGAATTTTTTGTAAATTCTCGTAGTTGCTTTTTTAACCTCATGACTTTCTTTGACTTTAAATGATAATTACAAAAGTCCAGCTCAGGTGGTGCAATTTAAAGGTGTTTCCTACCAGCGGTGCCACAGATGGGAGATTCTCTGTGCCCCAATCCTGGTGGCTCCTGCTTTATGGCTCTGGATTGGATTTGGGGTGCTGGGAGATGTTACTGGTGGTGTTTCAGAATCCTGGACAGAAGGCAGGGACAGTTGAGGAGTTGGGGGTTTGCTGGTAGGATGAGAACTGAGCATTAGGTGACCTGTCAGCCGTCCGTGTAATTGGGGATGGGCAAGAAGCATTCTGTGGTCCTATGGGATATTGGTCATAAAATTCCTGGAGAAGTAGTGCTGGAGTGGGATTTTGGAAAGCTGAGCCCCACAGGCTCCTGCTGACAGATTCCCCTCACTTTGGGTGTGGGTGGTTGGGCAGGAGGGAGCCCAGGTGTGATGAGGCCAGAAATGTTCTTCAGAGCAAGAGACACAACCATTTTCCACGCCTGGAGCTGAAGTGAGGAGAGGATGTGATTTGTCGTGACAAATGCACCCAACCCATGCACTTGGGCAGATCAGTGTCACCTGGAGTGTAAACCCGGGAGAGCTGCTGCCAGATGGTACAGAGCACTGCCCTGTCCCTGGGCTGGCGGGCACTGTGCCCGTGCAGGGCAGCATCCAGCAGGGAAAACACTAGGGAAGGTCAGGAATCTGTGCTTGCTCTGTCCCGAAGGGGTTTTAGCGCAGGCAGTGAATGTGTGGAGATAATTTTTTAAAGATCACAGAATCCTAGAATGGCTCGGGTTGGAAGGGACCTTACAGCTCCCCCAGAGCCAGCCCTGCCCCAGGCAGGGACCCCTTCCCCTGGCCCAGGCTGCTCAGGTGTGACCAGTGCTTTGGTTGCAGACGTTTGAAAGGTCGGTGCAGCTCCTGGACCAGATCCCGTCGTACGACACACACAAGATTGCAGTGCTGTACGTTGGGGAGGGCCAGGTGAGTGTGACACACACAAGATTGCTGTGCTGTACGTTGGGGAGGGCCAGGTGAGTGTGACACACACAGGATTGCAGTGCTGTACGTTGGGGAGGGCCAGGTGAGTGTGACACACACAGGATTGCAGTGCTGTACGTTGGGGAGGGCCAGGTGAGTGTGACACACACAAGATTGCAGTGCTGTACGTTGGGGAGGGCCAGGTGAGTGTGACACACACAGGATTGCTGTGCTGTACGTTGGGGAGGGCCAGGTGAGTGTGACACACACAGGATTGCAGTGCTGTACGTTGGGGAGGGCCAGGTGAGTGTGAGCAGGGCCTTCAGTCCCTGCACAGGGCCGGGCACCACTGCAGCTGTGGGGTTTGTCCTGCTCCTGCAGGCCTTGCTTTTCCTTAGTTTCTTGCAGTAAAAATCAGTGCCTACATGAAGCCCTTCTAGGAGAGCAGTGACCTAATCCTAGGAAGGTGATAACCTGATCACTGGTGCTCTTGGTGCCCTCGGCACTCAGTGACTGCCACGTTCGTGTGTCCCAGAGCAACAACGAGATCGCGATCCTGTCCAACGAGCACGGCTCCTATCGCTACACCGAGTTCCTCACGGGGCTGGGGAAGCTCATTGAGCTCAAAGACTGTCAGCCAGACAAGATCTACCTCGGGGGCCTGGATGTGTGTGGGGAGGATGGCCAGTTTACCTACTGCTGGCACGATGACATCATGCAAGGTGAGGTGGCTCCAGAAGCTGGAAGGATGGTCTGTCTCTTCTCACCTTGACTCACCTGCCTTCTGCACACTGTTTCCTTTCCAGGGGTGGAGGGAAGGTGACCTGGGGCTCTTGTTCTTTCTGATATCTCTGCAAGCCATGTGTTAAAGAGACCTGCCTTATTTAAGAAAAGAAAAATCACTGCACTTTTAAAGTGGCCTGCTCTCTAAGGGTCAGTAGGGTTTGGTGTGGAGGTTTGCAGAATAAGCTGGTTGTTCCTGAGCTACTCTGAAGACTGTTCACTGAAGGTGGTGTCAAAGCTCTGCTCTGTTTCTCTGAAGAGCAGTTTTGAGCAGGGAGTGTCACTGCTGTGGCCATTGCTCATTGCACTGCAGTGTCACCCTGCAGCACCCACAGTGCAGAAATCAGCGGTGATCCAACAGGCCGTGGTGAACTTCCCTGATTTTTCCACACAGCTCTGCTCATCACAAGTCCAGTTCCATGCTGCAGGTCCTGGTGCTCAGTTAGGGCAAGTCTTGATTTAAGCTATTTTAACTCTTTCCTCCTTAAAGCCAGTTCTGCTCCTCATGGTGCTCTGCTCCTTCCCACTGACCACTTGCATTCTGTGCTCCAGGGACTGTTGGAGCAGCCCGTGGGACTGGATTCAGCTGTCACACACAGGGACAAACTTATTGAGGGAGCACAACTTGTATTTTTATTATTTTGGTGCTGGTACTGCTTTGTCTGGCATGTGACTGTTGCTGCTCTCCCAGCCCAACCTAAGGATTTTTGTTTCCCTCTCCAGCTATTTTCCACATTGCCACTCTGATGCCCACCAAGGATCTGGATAAATATCGCTGTGACAAGAAGAGGCACCTGGGGAATGATTTTGTTTCCATTGTTTACAATGATTCAGGAGAGGACTTTAAACTGGGAACAATAAAGGTACAAGGTTTTCCTGGTGGGTGTGTTGTAAATCTCCATCTGGTGTGGTACCTTAGCAAACAGCGTGGAGAGCATGAGTTGTTGGTCTTGGTGGGTTCATGTGTGTGTTCATGGCATTCACAGGCCACGATGCTGCCAGGGAAATGTTTCTGACTGTTTTATTCTTTCCTCCTTAGGGCCAGTTCAATTTTGTGCACGTGATCATCACCCCCCTGGACTATGATTGTAACCTGGTGACGCTGCAGTGTCGGAAAGGTGGGGATCCCTCAGCCTTTCCCATGTTGGGGGTCAGTAACTGCCTTCACTGCGCAGTGGCTTTGCGTTTCAAAAGTGAGAACTTCCAGGAGAAACTCTCTGGAACCAGTTTGCCCAGTTGCATCTGGGTTTGTCCTGTTCCTATATCTTCCCCAAGATAAGAGGTATCTTCCCATTGTACCACTCATACTCAAGGTTAAGACAAAATGCCAACAGTAGAGCAAATCCCTCCAACAATACTTGGGAATGCTGGAGGAGAGGGGAGGTGCAGCTCCCTCTGGCTTTGGCCTCTGCTGTCCCTCCCAGCACTGCAGGACCCAGCCATGGCTCCATGTGAGTTCAACAGTGCTGGTGCTGGTGCTTTCCTCTTCCCAAAGGGGCACTTGTGGGTGTTTCTGGCTCATGTTTCGGTTCATGTGAGAGCCCAGCAAGCTGTTCTTAACAGTACAAGTTCTGTTACAGTGGGAGCTGTGGAGCTCAGTGGGAACTTCTGTGATACAGTTCCTCAGGTTTCTATTACTTATTTAGTTACTGGCAACCTTTGGCTTGATCTTAACTGTGTGAAAATATTTTTTTTCTTACTCCTTTAAATGAAAGACATGGAGGGGCTCGTGGACACGAGCGTTGCCAAGATCATCTCGGACAAGAACCTGCCCTTCGTGGCCCGTCAGATGGCCCTGCACGCCAACGTGAGTACCCCGAGCTCCCCGAGACCTCCTGGCTCCCAGCTGGTGCCTTGGGCCATCACCACCTGCCAAGGAAAGAAGCAGGGCTTGCTAAGGCAAAGAATTAAGTTTTCTGCTTGACCTTGAATTCAGAGTCGGCACACGAACAGTCGCAACTCAGAGCTGTGTTTCGGCTGCTGTCAAACTGCACTGAAAATTCTGTTAATTTTGTTGTCATGGTTATGCTGATGTGGCTCCTCTCTTCCCCTTCCCAAATCAGATGGCTTCCCAGGTCCACCACAGCCGCTCAAACCCTACTGACACGTACCCCTCCAAGTGGATCGCGAGGCTGCGGCACATCAAGAGGCTGCGGCACCGGGTGAGCGCGGCCGCTCCGGGGGTTTGGAACCGGCTCGGCGCCAGCGAGGCAGGTAAAGTCAGCTGCCACCTCTCTCCTTTGCCTTCCAGCTCCGAGAGGAAACGCAGTACCAGAGCCCTGGCCTTCCTCTGCAGCTGCATCCCTCTGCCCCCAGCAAGCCCCCTCCCCAGGCGCCCCAGGACCCGCCGCCCACCTACGAGACAGGGCAGCGGAAGCGGCTCATCTCCTCCGTGGACGACTTCACCGAGTTCGTGTAGGTCCTGGCACCTGTGTGGACACAGGGTTTGGGAGGCCTGGATGTGCTCCTTGCATGTGGACTTGGCATTGAACCCTGCCAGGTTTGGATGTTCCTGCCTCGGCCTTCCCTGAGGAGGACACGCTGTATTCCCAGCAGAGCTCTGAGAGGACCAACCCACCGTGTTTGGTTTTATTTGGTGTGAGGTATTTCAAGGCTTCTGTCTCTGTTGGGAACTTCCCTGCAGAACCTTCCTTTGGACTCCTTCCACACTGGCTCCTGGGGGAAGCAGACAAAGGATGATATTCTGCAGATCCTTACATGAAGGTGCAGGAATTGTGGGATTTTTGATGACTTCATTGGGAACGAAATATGAAGTACTGAAAATCCAGTTGCTATTTTTGAGCACCCTGGAATCCCAGCTCCTACCTGGACCCGGAGTCTCCCAGCACGTGAACTCTCCAGGCTCTGACTCGTTCTGCTACCAGCTCTGAAAAGAGTTAATTTGGGTTCTCTCCTGCCCAAAATGCTGCTTAAATTCCCAAGGGTTTTTCTGCATTTTGAGAGATTCACAGCAGAAATTATTTTGCCACCAGAAGTAACAGCAAACAGGGAGGTGGAGCAGCAGAATGGCAGAGCTGGGCCAGGAATCCCTGGGGATGAACAGTCTGACCCCCAGGGCTGACTCCAGGTGTTCACCCCAAGGCCAGACTCGACTTCCAGGTCCATCTGCAGAACTTCCACTGGTTGCAGGAATGCTGGGGTATCCCAGCCTTCTCCATGCACCTGTAACCCCTTTGGGAGACTGCTGTCATGTCTTGGGGCATCGTCTCTGCCCGAGTTTTGCCTGTTGCACTAACAGTGACAGTCTCTCCTGGGACTCCTCAAAGGTTCAGGCCCTTCCAGCCCAGCTGTGCACAGCTGGAATGGGATTCTGTAGCCCATCTTAAGGTGAGATGGGCACCAGACACTACACTACCCAACTGGGAGACACCACGTAAGCTGGACTATACTGTGAGTACTTTATCTCCTGCTTTGGCCCTGCCTGGGAAGCTGGATTTGGGAATGGCTGACAGCAGTGAGGTGAAGACAAGTGCAATGTGCACATGGGACTGTGAAGTACCAGGGGAGGGGACAGAAAGGCCCCCCTGGCCTGTGCAGGGTGTTTGGGAACCAAGTGTCTGTTGTGTTTGAGTGTTTGAGTCGTAAAGGAAATAAAGTATTTGTCTGGTCAGTGGTTCTTGCTGGCCTGGGAAGGTTCCAACTGTTTCCTAATCATGTAAATCCTTCCTCCTCCCCCCTTTCAGCTTCCTGATCTGTGTTGCTCCTGTAACCACTCCCCACACCTCCCAGTGCTGGACACAGGGGGGATTCCTGGCTGTGTTCCAGCCGCTGTACTGGGATATTCCTTGTGGTTCAGCTTCAGATAACCTCTGCAGTGGGGAGGGGGCTTTTCTGTGGGCATTGCCCACCACAGGTGAGCCAGGGCAGCTTTGTGTGAGCCCTGGAGCCACACTCTGCCTTGGCCCAGTCTCCTTTAGGTGACATCAGGAGCTGATGTCACTAATGCCAGCCCAGAGCTGCCCTAAGAGGCTGGAGGATTTAAGAAAGCATCTTGTGTTGTGCAGGAGACCTTAATTAACATTCTGGACACAAAGAGCATGAGTATGGGGTGGGGAAGCAGCCCTGGCTGGAGCTGCTTTCTCCCTCAATGAGGGGCTGCAGGGACTGAGACAAAACCACCCAAGCCAGGTTGTAGCAGTCAGTGTTTATTTGACCTTGTCAGTTTTTAAGAAACATCCCCACAGTTACAAAACACACCGTTTTTGTTTGCAGTGAAATGCTGACCCAACAGGAACCACTGGCATTTTGTTCACAATCACTGTTCTTTAAAAAAAAGAAAAAAGGCACTTAGAGAAGTCCCTCCCTCTCCCTTGGAACTAATGGATCGGGGTTTTGCTTTTCATTTAAGCAGCTTGATCCTGATGCAGCGTTGTGAGATTCACGACAATAAATAAGACCATCTCTTGGTGACTACAGACACAGAAATATACATTCAGGGGGATTCACTGGCGAGGGCTGCAAGTCAGGTTTATTGCTGTGAGGGTGTAACTCCTGACTTGAGTCCCTGTGGCTGCAGCTGTGCCTTAGCTGGGACACTGAGGGGACCCTGGGATGCTTGAACAAATAACTGCTGCTCTGAGAACTGTGAGTGCTGGAAGCTGTGGGTGCTGCCCACCACAGAGGGCTTGGGCTCTTCAGGAAACAACTGGGGGGGGCAGAGCTGCTCTCCATTCTTCCAGGGGAGGACAGAGGGAGGGCAGTTGTCTGATCCCATTTCTGCTCCTCTTTGATTAGAAGAAGCACTTGGTAAGTCACGCACATCAAGTCACACACACACACACAGGGCAAGCTTAGTAAGGAACAGGCATTTGGGAACAAAACTCCTGCTGGATTTGGGGAGTGTCCTTGTTACAGCTTCCCCTTTAGCTTAGGAAGGGCTACTCCAGGCAGATGGGGCCCCCTGCTCGCCCCTCTTGCCTCCATCTCTCCTTCCTGCACTTCACCACCGACCTCTTTTAATGAGGATACTCAAGCTGAGAACTAAACTCTGGGTCGTGACCTGAAATTTTTAGCTCTTCAAGAGATTTCCAAGACCTGCTTGGTTCATGTGGTTCATTTCAATCACTAAACATTCCCACAGGGCCCTCGGGGGTGGCTGGATCCTGGATCTACACCCACGTGGCTGTGCTAGAGCAGTTGTGAGTGGAGCAAGGAGCTTAGGAGCTGGATGTGACTCCAGCCCTGTGCCATGATCAGCTGCAGGGACACATTCCAGGTCCCTGGGACACCTCACCACTGCTCCTGTTACTGCCTTGGGCATTTGGGGCTTGGACATCTGCCAGAGCGGAGCCTGGTGCTGTGCTGCCTGGGAAGCTAAAGGAACAAAAAATCCAAGGCCAACAGTTTTACATCTCTGGCTTGAAAACCAGGGGGTATTTTGGAGCACAGAGCACAAAGCTGACCAATGCCTAGCCCCAGCCCTGGGCTCAGCCACTAAGTGCTGGTTCTGCCTGCTCCAGGCACCTCCTGCCCCTGAGCTGGGATCCTCCCTCTGACCTTCTCTGTCATCTCCCACCTGCCTTTCCTGCCATTACCAACGTGTCCTGGTTACCAGGATTGGATTTCCCCTCTACACTTCTACTTCTCTGTGCCATCTGCTCTTCCAACACCTCCACGCTGACCAACCACCAGCTCACTTTAACTGATCCTCTTTCTCTTCTCCTGCCCTCATCCCTCTGCAACCTTTCCACAGCATCTGTCCTGCACAGCAGCTGAGTTTTCCAAAGGTAACTCAGACCTGTCCTAAAGCCAACACAGAGTACCCACGGTCCTCCTGCAGCCACCCAGACGGGATGTGGCCAAGGAGCCAAGGAAGCACATGGATCATGGAATGAAATCTTAAAAAGTATCCAGCACAGCTGGGGCTGGAGGGGAGGCTCAGCAGGTGATGGAGCGATGGAAGTGCCATAGGAGACCCCTCTCTCTGCCTGGAAAGGTCTCCCCTGCCATGGGAAGGTGCTTCCAGGAGCATCAGAGGCACAATGCAGCCGACCCCGAGGCACCTCCCCTGCAGCACTGCCCACCTGAGCCTTCCCCTCCACCCTCTGGCCTGTCCAAAGCCTGGAGCAGGTTCTGGAACACATGGAGGAACCCCCTGGGGGCTTATCCCCCTTGCCCCGAGCCAGCCTGGCCAACCCTCAGCCAGGGGAGCACACACACCACACACACACAGACACCCAATCCTTATATACATGGGACATTCCCAGGAAGAAGCACTTAATACATCCTTTAAATAACTCTGACAATAGTATTCTGTCTCCTATCTACATGTTTCAAACACGGTACCGATGCTATGAAAATATAGCAAACATACAAAAATATATACATTTAAAAACCAAACACACCCCATATAAATTACTTACAATAGCCATAAGGTGAAATGGGGCTGAGGAGGGGAACGCAGACCCCGGGGGGGGGGCCCAGGCCCTGCTCTGCACCCCCGTGCTGTGAGCTGGGGGTGCCCCGTGGCACAGCCCAGCTGTAGCCCAGCAGCTGTAGCCCAGCACACGGCCACTCCCGGGGGGCAGGGCTGCAGGGACCTCGAAAAACCTCCCTCAGGAGCTCCTTTGTGCTGTAGGGAAGGTGCTGCCTGAGCAGGGGCTGCGCTCGCCTCCTCACTGCCCATTTCAGTTTATGATTTAAACAAACAAAATACTGCTTTTGTGATATATTATCCCGTTCTTAGCTCGCACGTGTCACTGTAGCCGAGGAAAGCCTTGTTTAAAGTGCTGGGCAGTACATAGGAACAAGTAAACCAAAAAAATACATATACTTAGGGCAATACATTCCTTGGGTTAGAGAAGCCAAGCAGCCAGCAGTGCCTGGGGGCCACGGCGGGGGGACAGGGACGGGTGGGGACCGCGGTGACACCAGCACCTTGGGAACCCCAAATTGGAGGAGGCTGGAGCAGCCCTGGGGTCTCAAAGCCCTCGGGCTGAGCTGCTGCTCCCTGTCCCCCCCAGCCTGGCCAGGCTCGCTGGAGCTTGCAATGTCCTTTGTTTTAAATATTGGATTTCTTTAAATACAAATAATAGTACCAATTTCTGGAGGATAAAAGTAGCCAATACTGGAAATTAACTGATCTGGGTGTAGATAGCATTTATCTATATATCTATTTATGCTTAAAAAACAAGGTGGGTTAAATACCTTCTCGAAAGCTGTTGCTTTCCTCCACAGTGCGTCTGGTCGACAAAAATCCAAGACTTGGTTCAAACCTTTGAGGCCTGGGGCTCTCCTGTCCTTTCCCATCCGGCACAGCCAGCAGGGAAGGGGCTGAGCTTTGCCCCACTCGCCCAGTGCCCACCCCCGTCACCACCCGCAGCTGGGGCCACTTAACACCCACCCCGGTCCCCACTCCAACGGGGATCTCCTGCACCTGCCCGGCCCCAGGGGAAAGGCTCGGCCTTCTCCCCGCTCTGTAACACTGGAACGCCCCCGGGGGTCCGGGAAGGCTGGTGGCCGTGCCAGCGGCGTGAGGGAGCGCCCCGTGTGCCCCGGCCAGCCCAGGCACGGGGCAGCTCCCGAGGCTGCAGGGCGGGCACAGCCCACCCTGGCAAACCCTCCCTGTGCCCTGCCAGGGCATCGCTCCCGCACCCATAACCCACGCACAGTTACTTGACCGTGGGGTGCACCCTGTTCTTGGCGCGGAGGGGCCGCTTCCTCCTGACGGCCGGCGCGGCCACAGCGCAGGGTTTGCCCGGGGCCACCGCGCTGACACCCCGGCTCGCCCGCAGGAGCCGGCTGGGCACCGAGCCCCGGCCACCCGGCACGGCCCCGGCACCGCGCGGGGACCGCGGGGGCTGCACGTCAGTGTCCGACACCTCGGGGGAGGGTCCCCGCTCCGAGCCGCCCGCACAGCCCCTGCCCAGCCCGTCCTCGGGGCCGCGGGGCCTCCTCCAGGAGCGGCGGCCCCGGGAGCCCTCCAGGAGCAGCTCGATGCGGGACACGTCCTCCGTCACCTGGTTGACACGGTCGAACTGGGCCAGCAGCATCTCAAAGAGGGAAAGGAGGCGCTGGATGTCGGCGTCCACTTCCAGGCTGTCCCGGGTGCTCAGCACGAGGCTCAGCCCGTCCAGCTGGCTGGAGGACGTGGAGGCCCTGGAGCTGTCGGAGGCAGCGCTGGGAGTAGGGCCCCGGAAGGACTTGGAGTCACTGGAGTCGCGGGAGGGCAGCGGCTCCATCCCTTCGAACCTCACCTTGTGCCGGAACTGGAGGGAACAGGGGAGCAGGGGCAGGGTTAGTTCAGAGCTCTCAGTGGGAACACTCCAAACACCCCGAGGCTGCTCCCAGCTATTCCTTGTGTGACAAACCATGGACCTTGTGGAGATCCCCGTTAAAACCACATGGAACTGTGGGGCTGAGAACTGGCAGCCGATGTCCCTACAGTGCCCCATCACTAACCCAGCCCTGGGGCCCTCAGGAAGGCTAAGGATGGTGGACATTGCTCTTTGCCACCTGGCCCCTTCTCCATGGAGCCCCCAGGCTGCTCTCACCTCCTTGGCTTTGCTGAAGCCCATCCACATCTTGAGCCTGCGCACGAACAGCTCCACCATCTCGTAGTCCTGGGGCTCGAAGGCAGGTCGGTACAGCTCAAAGTGCATCTCGCGGTAGCTGTGGATCAGCACCACCGTGAGCAGC